GGTTTTTTTTTTTTTTTTTTTTTTTTTTGTGCTGGCTTTTCCCCCTCTGTAAACAACTATAATTTTGTTTTGCAACCACTCACTTTTCATTTAAAGGGAAAAGAAGGGATGCTTTTTAACACTTTCAAATTTTTTTTAAAAAATAAAATAAAATATATAATAATTTCAAAGAATCTCATGGGCTTTGCTCAATACTATCCTACAACATTTTTGTGGGAGAGGGGGGTTTTACAGGGAAAAAAAATATCCAATATTACCCTAAGACATTTTTTTTTCAGAAAATTTGAAAAAAACCACACCAGTTGCATAGTAGCCATGATCATGATACTATGGAAAACATACTTTGATTGCAGCACCAAAGGCTGACTCGGTGGTTCTATTACTCTGAAACATCGTTGGAATACTCTCAAGCAACAACTCCAAATGTTGACGGCACTATTCCAACAAACAAGTGATATTATTAAAGATATGGGAAAGGTAAAAAAAATCCAATGATCAAGCTCATCAAAATTAAATATTTTGGAAAATCTGACCTCTGATAGTTGAACAATAACATCAGACTCCAGAGGAGTATATACATCTTGTACATCAGGGACTATGAGCATCAAAGGCTGAAAAGACAAAATGATAAAGTGAACATAAAAATAAAAATAATCAAAAATATAGTAAAAGGATTTGGAGACTATTAGTTAGCCTTCCTAATAACTATAGTATTTCATCTCGAGTGTTCAAGCTTATATGGACTTCTGAAGACCTGATGAAAATTTTGATCCTTTTTGGGATTCTCTTTTACAGGCATAGACTGTTCAAGAAAACAGACCAGATGGAAGCTTAATCACTCAAAAAGGGATGTATGCATTATTGCGCAAGGCTCAGCTCACTTCCTTCACTAATCCTCGAGGCAGTTTCGCCTACTCAAGGTAAGGTTTGAAATAAAATGATGAGTTAAATGTTTCAAAATAAAATCATTACAAGAAGCAGGTAGAGCCACAAATATCACTAATTCGGATTTCTTCTCAACTCTTTCATCTATCTTCTGGAATGAGCTGGTTTCCCTTCCATCCATCTTCTAAATACCAGTCATTGCATACATCAACAAGAAAACAAAGTTTTTTTTTCACCCTCAATACAAAACGAACGCCTAAAGTGGAGATAGATAACAATAATCAAAATGTGACCTGTTGTAGTGCACGTTTCAGATTGTAAAAGTGAATTGTTGAGTCAAATGTTGCAATCCCGACGAATGTACGAGGACCTTCCTGGAACATCATGGTGTTATTAGTCACTAGGATAGAGACAAATGAATAGAATGCTAATAGAAGGCTGAAGATGGATGAAATAGGAAAAATAAATAAATACCAACATGATCGACATAGATCCTATTTGTAAACATCAATATTAGAAAAATCCAACCCCCCACACACTAAAACACACGGGCAAAAGAAGAATGAGACATAAGGACAAATTAAACTCTTAACCAAAGCAAACTCTTCAGAAAATACAGACAAAAGATATAGAAATTTTTTGGAAAATACTAAGTTCCTTAACCTCAGAGTGACATCGTGCTTAGATTTGTACAGAATTCAATTTATCAAGGGGCACTCAAGAACTGAAACATTTTCAGCAAAAGATTGTTGGATTGCATAGAAAGAACTTTACCAAATCTCTTATAGAATTTAGATTATTACAAGAGTTCAATTAACAAAAATGGCAATCAAAAACAGAAAAGAGGATGTAATCACTTAAGAGAGACAGGACATACCCTGAGAGGATAATATAATAATTAAGCATAGGTCACACAAGGTACCTCCATCAGAAGATAGCAAAACTATTTTGAGAAGAGAGAAACAAAATTCATTGATGAATGAAATGAAGGAGTAAAAACCTCCAAACACCGAAAGGTGAATTGCATGAAAGCTCTCCAGTAAGAGATCAAAGAAGGAATGTAACCATATTAAAGCCTATCATTATAGAAGTTACCGTTGTTGTAAACAAGAAAGCATACTCGCAAGAAGTTGCTCTTCCACAATATTACCAACCCAATGCGATCATTTCAGACTAGTTTAAATAAGTATAAAACAAAAGAAAGAAATTTTCAGGGTGATCTAATATCAATTCTTTGCGGTAATGCATCACACATACATACCGCAAGAATAAATACATAAATAAACCCTTGTAAAAAAATAAATAAATAAACCCTTGTAAAAACAAGTACAAATACCACAGAGCACCATTGAAGGCTATGGATTATAAACACATCCATGCATATATAATGTTACCCAATCAAATGTAGAACTTACAGGAAGATCAGAAATAACTTGACTAATTGCACTGCACGCTGCAGCAGTGGCACCAGTCTGTACGGCATTCATGGATACATCAATGAGGAAAAAATAAACAGCTGGCATTGGATCACGCACCTGGAGTAAAAAAATGCATCAAAGACAGCATATATATATATATATATAAGCACATACAGACAAACGAGATTGAACTTAAGACACCAAGAGAAGCAAAAAAAATAAAAAATAAACATGACCGAAACCTGCTTACCTCTAGCTCAATTATTATTATTTGTTATTTTAACTACAAACATGATATTTCATAGGTCAATGAAATATGCAAGAGAAAAGGGTGGAAAGCTAAGAGAGGTTACTAGAATGCCAAGATATCATTTTGGCAATAATTACAAAAATCATTGCGAACACAAAACAGTGGAGGGCATGGTCCAGTCCATAAAGAATATGTGTGATTTCACTCTAACCATGCACACGACAAGATAGTTCTAAAAAATTTGAACCAACCACTTGTAGTAAAAAACAGAACACATCCAAAAGGAGAAAACGGCATGTTCCAACATTTAGTTGCTTGGTCACAATGAATAAAATTATGGTCCTAGTTCAATTATTTTTGTCAAACATGCCAACCTACTACTATATATATATATATATATATAGAGAGAGAGAGAGAGAGAGAGAGAGATATCATGAAAAAGTTGAAAACCGAAAGGAGAAATCATCTCATAAGTTGGGATATTATTACCTTACCTCCAAATTGTAAGGATGTGATTTGGGAAATTTAGGGAGTAGAAACAATGCACTTTCAGCCATTTAGGTATGGAGATTTTCAATCAAATAATATTCACTGTAGCATAAACTACCAACAGAAATTATAGGGATGAGTAGCTTGATTGGAAGGCTTTGATACCTTATCCTTTGTTGGCAGGGGCTTCCTTTTCCCCTGGCTTTTGGGCGGTTTCTCTTCTCTTTTGTTTATAATACAGCCGTTTGTTTCTTATAAAAAACTTAAAATTGAAAAAACATGGTCTACATCCGTTATAAAGCAATGAATAAACAACTAGGAGAAGAAAAAAGGTAAACTCCATGCTAATGGAGTATCATAAACCAAGTACCATACCATGTATTCCTTAGAAGCAACAAATTCTACTGTTCCTCTACACAGTTCGGGCCTTTCATCAGCATCTCGTCTTCTACCATCTGGACCAAGATTACAGTGGTATTCACGAGGAGTCTCATCAGTAAAGCCTGAAAAAGGAATGACATAGAGCGTTTAAATTACCACCTACAGAAGAAATGACAAATAGAATTCCACATATGAAAGAAATCATTGACATTCTACAAAAAGCAGCATTATGTATTTTATAATAACTAAATAAGAAGATGAACGGAAGCGATAAAGGAAGAAAGGTAACGTGCATCAAAGGAATGCCCTTAACCAGAAAATATATATAAAAAAAAAATGGTATGTAAACCTAGTTGCAAAAACGATGAATCATAGTCCTATGTCAATCAAACAACAAATTTAAGAGAAACATGAAAACACCCCACTAAAAAGGTAGCAACATCTTTACTGACCACATAAGTTACAGACAAATCGTCTTCCCTGATCAATGAACTTCATAAAAGGATTAATATAGCCTTTGCAGCGAGAACATCGGACTGGCCCACTTTCCCCAAAATCCACAACCTATAAAATAAAATCCACGGAATGAACGAAGGGTATCACTGTTTAATAAAATTCAACCATTTGACAAGATAAAAAGTCCAAAGTTTGCAACAATATTCTCCTAGTATATAATAAGTTAATGGACCAGTAAGAGTGCATTTGTAACCATTACATAACAAATAAATTCATTTTAAGGCTAGTATAGTAGGATAAGGGTAATCATGCAATTTATTATTCAAGTTTGTTGTTTTTCTGGATTAATATGTGCGTTGGCTTTGATAGCTGCTGGTATGTTTAATTAGAAACTAGGCATCTCCACAGCCTAAAATAGAAAATCGCCTAACGATGATAAACTTACTCTTTGATGAGGAAATAAAGAGATGTAAAGAGATGTGAACTAAGTTTACACTCCATTAGAAAAAATAGTAACAATAAAAGAAGAAGGAAAAAAAAACCACATTAACACACTAACTGCTATTATTACATCTTTAGTTAAAAGAAAAGCAAAAAAAGGATGCATTATATACTTGAATGGGCTCCTCAGAAGGATGTAGAAGAGCAAATGGTTGGACTAGCAAAGCCAACTGCATGGCTGATGTATTCAAAAGATCAGCAGTGCACGGGATCTGTAAGAATATGAAAAGTAACATGGCCATAAGACATCAAGATAGAGAGATTTTGCAAGGCAGCCATCAACTAGAATATTAAGCAAAAGATAAAAATCGGAAATGATGAAATGATGAATTTAATACTAGTCATTCACCTGACCAATGGTGCACCTCATAAAACGTGGACTGCAATTCCCAGTGTCTCTCACAATATACTCACTTGATGCAAGCTTCATAAAGTATAAAGAAGGAACATTACAACAATTAAAGCTTGAAAGAAACACACAACAGCAACAATAAATAAATTTGAAGTTCGTATTCGAGCAACAGTGCTATCAGTAAAATCACTAGGACAAGAAATAAAACAGGGGAAATAAAAAAGCGAACGTAATTAACCCCATGTATGTTGAGAAAGTACCGGGGGCAGACTGGCCTGGTTGCCTTGACGAGTGTCAAACAGGATGACTGATGAATTTGGAACGGGCCTTGGAATCTGATTTGGATCAATTTTTGATTGTGTGGCTGCCGGAGATCCAGTTTGACCAATAGCAGGTGAGATAGTAGTCATGGATTGGTTAGGTGTATGTGGAGGCATCCCAAACATTCTAGGTGGCTGCAATTGACCAGTAATAGGTGGAGGAGCTGCCGCCTTGTGTTCAAATAAGAAAAATAATCAAGTTTTTTTTTCAAATGAGGAATCCAGCTTTTATTAGGGCAAATGAAAATAAAAATATGTGAAAGATGAAAACTAATACAGGATCGAAACCTGTGTCTGAAAGAGCACAACTGAAAAAAGTTGTGCAAGACACAATGGACAACATCTACCTCATTTTTTCCAAGTTTCTTCTGCTTTAAAACAAATCAGTCAATAAATTATTGACTTTCAGCGGTTCAACCATAAATCTGAAAACTCTCTCCTCACGTCTAAAATTGAGTGTTATATAGTGGAGTATGGGTACCAAATGCCTATTGAGCGCATGTCCCATAATTTGTAAATTCTCTCTCTAATTCAATCAGCAAAATATACACACACACACGTGAATTTATACAAGTGTATGCAATGCAAGCATGAATATTAATTTGCACCTTCAACTAACTACTACACAACGCACAAACTCAACAAGCTCTTATCCCACGTTCAAGTGACAAATGTGTGTTGAACAAGCACTGGAATTTTGAACATGCTAGGCATAATGTAGTGGTAGTCAAATTAAAAATAAAAAGTGAAAATGATTGATTACATGACAAGTTGACAACTCTAACAAATACTAAATTTAATTAGAAAGTACTAAATGATTCCTTCAAGGCTTCAACATATCTCTACTTATAGTTTTCAAAAAGAATAATAATAATCATGCAATGGAATGGAATGACACAGGTACATCATAGCCACGCTTCTAAGACAGGAAGGAAACAACAGCAATAATATTTTAACCGTATGCCCTCGAGAATTTGAACTTTATTTTTTTATTTTTTTTGGGGGGGGGGGCGGTGAGAACTGCCTTTATACTTCATAATACATGATACTCTCATCTACATTATTTACTTTGCAATAAATGAACCCATAAAGGCAAGAGTAAGATATTTTATATGTAAATTTAAAATTATCAAGCTAACTTGCATATATTCTTTAGACGATACTCAATTCTATAACTAATTTACACAAAGAATTGGTTTATCCCTATAAATTTCTGGAAAATGCTAGAACGTCCTTAGAAGCTAGAGGCTTTTGTGCCATTTTTTGTACACACGTCTCATTTTATCAAATAAAATATGTTTCCTATCCGGAAAAAAAAAATGAATAAATCTTCCTTGCATTGGATATTTTAGAGAGCGACAATACTCCAACTGATGAAATGCACATTACCGAAATAAACTAATAAGAAGTGGGTCATCACACAATAGCTTTAACAAAAAGAACACAATATGGTCGTTGCATAATAACAAGATAAAGAAATGAACGGCGGCTACCTGACCAGGTTGCATTGGCCATGTTGGCGGCCCAAATGGGGAACCTGAAGGTGGCGGTACTCCTTGAGTTGCCAATGGAAATGGTGGTGCTGCTTGCCCGGGAGGACCTGATGGAGGCAAAAATCCAGGGCCACCTGGAACAGAATGCATATATGGAGTCTGAACAGATGCTCCCATTGGTGGAGGACCTTGTGGTGCATTGGCTGCTGGAGGAAAACGTGGCCCACTGGGAAAATTGGTCTGCGCGAATGCTGGAGGGCCATTACTCAATGCACCACCCCGAGCACTTGGTGGAGGCATGCTTGGGTTGCTAACAGAAGGGGGCAAGGTTCCACTTGGACGTGAACCAAGTGGAGGCATAACTGAACCACTGGAAGGTGGCCTATAAGCAGGTTGGGCAGTAGCCCCAACACCTGGAGGAGTTGGCCTAGATACTAATGGAGACGGTTGTCCAACAGGCGGCCCACTAGGTCTCATTGGAGTCATGTTGGGAGGTAATGCAGATGGTGGAGGCCCCGATGAAGGCAAATTAGGTCGGGCAATTGAAGATGATGGTGGACCTGGCCGTGAAAATGGAGGTGGGGCACCAGATATTCCAGTTGGTGGGGGTGCTGACGAAGGAAAAGGTGGTGATTGGCCAAATGGGGGCCTAGGGAATGAATTGGGCATTGAAGGAGGTCGATTGAGATTCATATTTTGAAAATTATCAGCTAAAGAACCAGGATTTGGCTGAGAATTAGGGTAGTAATTAGCCGGTGGTGGTGGAGCTTGATTGCTATTGCTTTCATTGGGCCGAAGTGCCCCTGGAGGCACAAGAGCTGCCATTGATCAACCAGATTTTAAAGAACCAGACTTTCGTACTCTTATTCAATAAAACCTTTCTATACAAATTCACTGTGCAGATTCAACAACCCAAATCAACTCTGCAAGAATACACCAAATCAACAAGTTTTAGAACATTCGTCCATCCTTGCGTTCATTCATAATAACATTACTAATTATAACAGTACACCATCTAAAAGAGTTTGAAGTAGAATAACTAATGTTCTACAACTAAAATTCGTAGTTTCAAATTGGACACCACCACTTTTATGGTGTGTCTTAAACTGAAAAGAGAGTGTTTAAAATGATAAACTTCTGGAAAGCAAGCCATGGGAGTACAAACGAAAGTAAACCAGCCTATACGAGTCTGAATATAGACAATTTAAATTTATCTGAATTACTCTTGCAACGCATTTTGAAAAGGGGTGGAAAGGGGAAAGACGACAGATGATCTAGCAACATGAATCATAACCCACAATCAGTTAGCAAAAAAACATAAAAACCATAAACCTTTGAGTCGGAAATTTGCGGATGAAGAACCAGAGAAAATTTACGAATCATCAAAACCCATATCGAGTACAAAATTTCTAGTTATCGTCCACAAATTCTAAAAGAATCTAGTTCGACAGAGTTAAACAAGCGTTCCAATTCACTGACATTCGAACTCTAACGAATATATATCGTGCGATTAACACAAACAGATGATCGCGAAACTTCAAAATGAAGCAAATTAAGCAACTGGGTTGGCTATGACGAGGATTTCCTTACACAAAACATAAATGAAATTGAGAAATCAAATGAAGATCAGACAAATCCAAGTCGAAATTAGTAGATTGGATGATCGACAGAGACCAATAACGGCGAAAGAACAGCCGAGAATGAAAGAATTGAAGATAATACCCGAATTTCCACAGAAATGTAACACGAATCAAGATTCAATTCTCTTATTCATTACACCCTTTTCCGCTCCAGTAGACAAAGCCGCGAATGAAAGAGGAACGAAAACGTATGATGAAGCACATGCGAGATGCAACTATTAAAAGACCGTATGTATCGACAGCGTGTTTTTTCTGACCATTTTCTTATTTACTTATTTAGCTATTCCCTTAAATTACAATTGCTAAATTAATAAATATACCATAAATATTTTTTAAAAAATTAATAATATATACAAAAATATTAACAAAAATGGTAAATATTTTGTTTTAATAATATTTAAAAAAATACTCTTAAATTTTAAAAAAAAATTATTAATATCCTTCAATTTAAAAAAAAATATATAAATAAATAATGTCAGAAGTACCTCGGGAGGAGAACACCACCGTTTATAGAAGGTGTGGAAACCTTCCCTTAGCAAATGGGTTTTAAAGACTTGAGGGAATCTCGAAAGGGAAAGCCCAAAGAGAACAATATCGGCTAATGGTGGATCTTGGGCGTTATAAATGGTATTAGAGCTAGACACTGGACGATGTGTCAGCTTTCTCACTGTTCTCCGAAGGGGGTAGACACGAGGCGGTGTGCCAGTAAGGTCGCTAGACCCTAAAGAGGGTGGATTTGGGGGCGGTCCCACGTCAATTGGAGGAAGGAAAGAGTGCAGCGAGGACGCTAGTCCCAAATGGGTGGATTGTGATGCATATTAGTTGGGGAGGAGAACAAACTATCATTTTACGAGGGTGTGGAAACCTTCCCCTAGCAGATGGGTTTTAAAGTCTTGAAGGAGAGCAGGAAAAGGAAAGCCAAAAAAAACAATATCTGCTAGCGGTGGATATTAGCCGTTACATGTACGAGCCTTGTAAACGACATAATTTTAATGTATTTGACATTCTACAAAATCTCTAAAAAAAAAAAAAAGTAGGCCTTAGATTTAAATACAGTAGATTCTATTTTGAAATTAGTTAAAATAAAATTTTAAGCGAAACATACGAGAGAGCAATGTAAGAGGTCGTGATAGATCTCGTAAAAGATGGAGAAATTTAAATGGTAGCACAATAACGAACCTTAACACTCGTTAGTAGACGGTCTATCTGGAATTATAAAGCTGTATAATTAGTGTTTTGAATTTTTAGAATTGTTCGTGCTTCTCTAGGTTTTTTTTTTAAATATATTTTTTACAATAATTATATGTTTTTTTTTTGGTAAATTCAACTCGTAACCGTAACCTAATTGGCGACACTCAAATTTTCAGAATTAACTATATAATGTTCGTGGATTAAATATCACTTAAATTAGTTTATACGAGAGTATATATATACATATTTTATAATCCATACCCACATAGTTCTAAGTGTAACTACTGTTAAGGATATTTAGTAATAAATTATAGTTTACCATATATATTAGATTTGATATTTTATTATAAGGCAAATATCTAACATTTGCCTTATTACTACAGGTATCTTTCCATTTATTGTTATTTCCATTTATTACTATTTCCATATCCTTGTAATTTATTTGATTATAAATAAGATAACTTTCACACCATTTAGGTGTGGTGGATTCAGCAAACATTCACATGGTATCAGAGCCATTTTGGTTTAGCAACCTAGATCCTTTCTTTTCAATGGCTTTTGAAATCTTCTACTGTTCTTCTCCACCACCACTGTTGTCTTTGATGCCGCAGGGGCAGTCGTCATGGCTGTCACATGCAGAGTCGATTGATTATTCTTCGGCTCCACCTTTTTGACCTCCAAATCATCCTTCGCCATACTCTGTACATACAACCTCACCTTTTCCAAACATAGCCTCTTTCATTTTCTTCCCAATTTTTCTTCATCCTTCACAAAAACCCTAATCTTAGGATCTTCATCAGCATTCCTCTTCGAAAATATACAGAATCTCAATAAGCCCATTGACCTTCTGCAGAGATTTACCTTTGGAATCTGGGCGCCGCACTGGCATCTTTGCCAACCAAGTTGCCGCTGCCCTTCTCGCCAAAATTGGCTCCTTCGCCCCAATGTGGCGACTCTTCCAGCTGCCCTTCTCGCCAAAATTGGCTCCTTCGCCCCAATGTGGCGACTCTTCCGGCTTCAACATTGTCTTTGTCCCTTGCTCTAGGTTTCCCCTGCTACTTCTTGGGGTTAGACATATTCTCACCAGAGCCAAGTCAGCATCGTCGCTAAGCGACAATCCCTCTTCATGGGTTAGACATATTCTCACCGAAGCCAAGGCAGCATCGCCGCTGAGCGGCGATCTCTCTGCAGTTTTCGATGGCCAAGAAAGTGTTTCTCTACGCCTCCTCTGAACCAGGTTGTTAACATCTTCACGAAAAGTGTTTCTCAACCTCTTTGAATTTTTCAGATTCAAGCTTCACGTTCGTTTAAATCCGACGCTTAGCTTGCGGTGGGGTGTTAAGGATATTTAGTAATAAATTATAGTTTACCATATATATTAGATTTGATATTTTATTATAAGGCAAATATCTAACATTTGCCTTATTACTACAGGTATCTTTCCATTTATTGTTATTTCCATTTATTACTATTTCCATATCCTTGTAATTTATTTGATTATAAATAAGATAACTTTCACACCATTTAGGTGTGGTGGATTCAGCAAACATTCACAACTACAAACATATATATACACGCCCAAAGCATTAACAACGATCTAATATTGTTTATTACTTTTATTTTGGTTAATACGCTCTATTTTAATTGAACTCAGGTATGTTTATGGGTTCGGTTGAGCCATTTTTTAAATTTAAATTAATCATTTTGGTTGTAATTTTTTTTAACCCAATTATCTCTTATTAAATAACGAATCCAACCCCATTAACTATACCATTTTGTTATGGTTGGATAGGTTGGAAAGCGCTTATTTAAATTATATTTTTAATAAAAATTTTAATGTTTTTTTATCTATTTTTAAATATTTAATCTTAAGAAATTGCATTCCAAACAATTATATATATAAAAATAATTATATGGTAAGCAATTTTTTTTTAATTGTTGATATTTTTTATTATTTTTTTTAAATGAACTATTTATAGTTAATTGTTGTTCTTCCCACACATATATAAAATAAATAAATAAATAAATAAATAAATAAATAAAAGAACGAGGAAAACCTAACTCTTTCATCTTCGACTCTCTCACGTGCACCATACCACTTCTTATTCTTCTTCTTCTTCACGTGGTCTCCTCCTCCGTTTCAGCAGCTCAGTGTCATCGGCGCCTCTTTTTCCCGTTCAGTGCTGTCGCCGCCGTCATCTTTCTTTCGCTCGTGTCGTTGCGGCGCCCCTCCTAGTGGTTCGCACTGAGTTTATACTCTCTTGTTACTGGTATTCTTCCAATCTCATCTATGGCTTTATTTTCACTTGAAAAGCACAAACTAGGATGTTCTTTTTTCTTTTTGAAGTAACAACACCGACTAGCAACCGGGACAAAAAATTGAGACGTGGTTTTTGTTTTGGCTGTTCGGATAGTGGGCGTTGTTAGACGAACACTACTCTCCACAATTGTATGATATTGTCCCCTTTGAGCATAACCTCTGGTGACTTTGCTTTGGGCTTCCCCAAAAGGCCTCATACCGATGGAGATAGTATTTCTTGATTATAAATGCATGATTATTCTCTAAATTAGCCGAGGTGGGACTTTCATCATCCAACACCTCCCCTTGAACAAAGTACATCTCTCCTTAATCAAGGCTCGACTCTTTTTTCTTTTGGAGTCTTAGTCATTTTTTACTATGCCTTCGAGGAGGCTCGACTCCTTCTCTCTTGGAGTCTTTTGTTCGACATCTAAAAATTTACCAATATATTGGCATGGCTAAGTTTTAGGACATGGCTCTGATACCATGTTAAACGAACACGACTCTCCACAATAGTATGATATTGTCCACTTTGAGCATAAGCTCTGAACAAAGTACGTCTCCCCTTGATCAAGGCTCAACTCCTTTTTCTTTTGGAGTCTTAGTCATTTTTTACTATGTCTTTGAGGAGGCTCGACTCATTTTCTCTTGGAGTCTTTTGTTCGACATTTGAGGATTTACCAATCTATTGGCATGACTAAGTTTTAGGTCATGACTCTAATACTATGTTAGACGAACACGACTCTCCATAATAGTATGATATTGTCCACTTTGAGCATAAGCTCTCATGGCTTTGCTTTGGGCTTCTCCAAAAGGCCTCATATCAATGGAGATAGTATTTCTTGATTATTAACCCATGATTATTCCCTAAATTAGCCGATGTGGGACTTTCTTCATCCAACAGGTGTATCCGCCGCTTTAGTTTGTTGCATATTTCTATCAATTTAGGCTTTGATCATCTGCATATCTCTTTGGTCTCAGCCGAGAATTACCTTGTTTGTGTGACCGTGGATTTTCCAGCATTTCACTTCTTTATTTATCAGAAATTTGGTTTGAAGTAATCTATAGCATTATTCAATTCTCTTTTAAATAGATTTGTACTCTTTCCTAAATGGCAGCAACTTCCTCCGCAGAGACTGCAGTTGTAATCTCTTTTCTTTCCCAGGAAACAAGCATTGGCAGGAGCAGTTTGTTTTGCAGCCAAACTTGGGCGGTAGGCTGTATTCGAGAGTTCATAAATGGCTGAGGACCCAATGCAGTCGATATCTTCTCAAAAGAGAAGGCCAAAGAGGAAGAGAATCCAGAAAGACCCAGAATTGGACCGTCTCGATTCACTCTCATGGAAGTCATCAATCCCAAGGGACGACGCCTTGTCTGCTTTCATTGGATCCAACGATCTCGAAGGAGGTTTGAACTTATTTGTATGCTCTGCTTTAGAAGCTTATATTACACGTGTGGTCATACTAAATTAATTCTGTTGGGTTTGTGGCCTTTTTTCTGTATCTGATATCGTTTGTTGGTTGTTACATGTTCTGAGCACATTGCTTCATTTCGTTAAGTTGTTCTTCTATTTGTAGTTTAAATTATGTTTCGTTTATC